AAATGGGCATTTTCACGAACTAATAGAGAAACCATGGTGGAGAAGAAATTAGAGCAAAAATACGAAAAAATGATAGCTTTTCTCCGCTGCTATTCGTTTTGTGCAGGAACCTGTTGAGCCACAAGCTCAATATGTGATGTCCCAACAGTGGCGATTTCCGGCAATTAAGAGATGCACATAAAACTACCTACTGTTTATGGATGATCTTAAGCTCGATTAGGATATTATGAAATTTATAGCCGAAGAAGTTAAGAGGTTTATTTAGATATAAGGTTAAAAGTAGATTTAGCAAAGTCAGTTACTATCACCGAGGAAAAGCAGTATTCTTGGACGAAACTCAAGAGTATGAATATCTTGGAATAGTGGAAAACAGGACTAGTGTATCTACCCATAAAAACTACGATAAAGTCCGGGCGCAGATCTTGATGAGAATTGAGCGATTAGCCAAAACTGCATTAAATGAAAAGAACTTTATTAAGGCAATGAATGATCACACTATAAGTTTGATGAACTATTGCACTGCAGTGCTCAAGCTAGAATTAGAAGACTAAAGCAACAGAGTATAATATCAAGAAGTTACTAAATAAGTGGGATTCATAATCAACCTGCATGTTTATAAAGATTATATCTGCCAAGGGACGAGCTAGGACGTGGATTTCACTGCGTTGAACAGAAGAATGATCTTATGCTTCTACAACTTCATAATGTACACGCCCATATCTACCACGAGCACGGCGATTATGGAGCAAGGCAAAACTCACAAGACGTACTTGGCTTACTATACTCCAACCTTATACTAAATATAACTTTGCAGACAATCCAGCCATTGAAAACCTAACAAAAGCCCGTATGAGGACTGTGGATTATTTGGCAACGCAGTGTGAGAAAATGCTGTACCACGACTACACTAAAAGGGATATTGAGATGCTGCAATTCATCTACCTCGATTTCGCCAAAAAGATGGTTTGAAAGCTTCTCCACGCATCCTACTCGTTTAGGAGATTGTTGTGAGTAAAAATGAAGATGAGAGTCAATACGCGAGTAAGAATGGCGATTAAAATACATGCATATTTGCCATATATACGATAAGGAGTGACATGAAGTAATTCTGATAGAGGATGGCATCGCTGGTCAGAAAAGGCTGGGAGCAGTTGAAACCGAGAAAATGCGAAAGTATGATCAACTAGCCAATAAACTATGGCCAGAAATGAAATGCAGAACAAAAATAATTTCGTATGTAATGATGTGGGAAGCAACAAACTTGCGTAAGCGCTACACGACAAAAGAAATCACTAGATTTGATTTACGTCGACGCATACATACAATCGGTAGTGCTCAAGAAGACATTACAAAGCATCTCATTTGATTACTGGATTCAATGAGAGCGGAGGAATGGAGGCCAGTACAGCAGTACTGAGTACTGGGTGAGTACAGCGAGAACACGATTCTGCATCAGAATAACGCAAAAAAGATCAACCTCGGTCTGATATTGAAAGGTAAACATATGAATAAGTAATATCAGTATTTTAAAAATGGTTCTAAAAATATTACTATTTTTTGTCACTAAAATCGGCATATTAATTGGTGCAAAAAAACTTCCGTGAGAAAACGGAAAATATTTTTAGCCAAATCGACGGAAATTTTCACAAATATTTCCTGGTATTGATAAAAGAGTTCAACGTACTTTAGAAGTCAAAAAGATAGTGATATTTATTCATTACTTCTATCCCTGAATCAATCGAAAATTTAATTGAAAATATTTTTCTAGAGATATCACAAAGTTTACCACCAAATATTTTTTTTCATTGATTAAAAAAGGAATGGAAATGTTTGCAAAATTAAATATCTCTAGGAAAATATTCTGATATATAAATGTCGTTGAATGAAATGGAAACAAAAAAAATTTCTTATTTCCATTCCAAAAATTTTAATGCTCATTAGTGGTACATAAGAAATCTCTTTTAAATTAAGAATGGAAACAAAAAATTCCTATAGCTAATATAATGTTCCTAGTCAAATGATAAACTGTTCATACAATGTAATAATGTATTTTTGTATTTTTCTTGCATAGACAGTCTCACATGCACTTTCTCTTTTTAAATTTCTATCGATATTATATTATCGAAACTGTGATGATAATGACATGTCACCAACAATTCTACTTTTCGTTAACCTTCCTTTAACAGTGCAAATATTGCTATTGCCACCACATTTTCACAGAAAATAATTGACAGTACTATAACAATAGAAGAATAAAAAGATAAAAAATGCATCAAAACTAATACCTTCATCTTGGCGGTTAAATTTCGTCATTAAAAGACTTATAAAGATGATCGTTATTAATATTATCCACGTACTTATTATTTATATGAGAAAGAAAATGATTTACATAAAAGCTGTGCTGTTCGTTATTCTGCAACTTCTTCTTGGTTGCTGTTTAGAAAAATTATGGAGCACAAACATTTAATTAAAAAATGATGAATTTCAAGTGTGATTAACATGTTTATCGAAGCCATCAAAAATTGTTAACGTGATATTGATTTTATTAACAAATACATGAAAAAATTGAGCGACGAAAGCTAGATTATGATCACTAGCAGTCAATTAAAATATGACTAGAAAGAAGAAGGCCTGCAGAGCTTTAGCTTGAGTGCTTCTTATCGTTACAGTCTGCTGCGCAAGAGCTTGTTTTTTTTTCCTTTCTAATATATACAAAAAAATAAGCACACAGATAACTATAATGATAATGATATGAATGTATGTGATTATGCTGTATGTTTCTCAAGCATCAGTATTGTTGTGAGTATAATAACTGCAAAACTAATGCCTAAAAATTACTGCAAAAGTATTGCAGAGTTCTGCAAGAACTCCTCCGCTGCCGGCAATAAAGAATAGATCAATAACATTGTGACCCACTGAATCTTTCCACTTTACAACAAACAAAATAAAGTAAGAAAGAACGGAGTAGAGAATTAGAAATGGCCAAGAATGATGAAATGAACTCAAGTAAGAATAATGGTTCATTTGCAAATACTACAAAGAAAAGATATGAGACTCACCAACTGAAAGCTGTTCCGGTTGTTGACCAATATGTTTTGAGTTAAACCAGTCAGTAGAGAATGTAGCGGGTGTTTCGCAAGAGTAAGTAGACGTATTCATTACGAAAGATAGAAGTGATGAAATAATGACAATAACGATGAATATATTATTGAAAAATGTTGGCCAAACGAGAAAAATAATTCCTCGGATACGTAACAGCAATAAAAGTGCTCAAGAAAATCTTGCTTGAGACTACAGAATAACAGAAGAAAGATAAGTAATGAAGATGATTAGACGGTACAATAATTGTAAATTTGATTAAGCAATAAAATTAAAGAAAAGCAATTAAGTTCGCAAAGGTGGATAATTCTGGATAAAAGTAAATAGATGAATATGTACTGTTTGATAATTGGTAATTATTATTAACTAGCATGCAGGTTGGAACAAAAGATGATGATAAGGTGAGATTATATGTGATGATAGCTGCTGATAATGAGTGATTGTAATAATTGTTGTGAGTGAATAAATGAGTGAGTGGGGGATGCGCGTCGTTCGATCGTCTTGGTCGTTTTTGCTTCAAAAATACAAAATGTGAAATAAGAGGAGAGGATGGTGGCAGCAATGATACAGCTTTTTTCTCACTGCTTCTCTACCACTATTGAGTGGGAATAGAACAAGTACACGCACACACACGCAAGCACACACCAAGAGAAGGGGAAGTAAAGTGAAATGAAATGGAATGGAATGAAATGAAATGAAGAGGCTGGTTTCAGAGTACAACGGATAAATGGCGAAGAGCAAGACTGATGAATGGCACCAGTGTAGTCCCATCTCCTCCGATGGTGTTGAATTCCCGTGTGTGTTTCTGCATCTAAGCATCTACATCATGTATTATATGTAATGTGTGTTCCGTTCAGGCATGTTCAGTGTCTGCAACCTCCTATACTATTCTTGCCGATCGCTTTTGAAAATGGATACAAGTGATGTACGCGTGTGGTACTTGGTGATAGCAACGTGTACGTTATTAACGAACTGCAGGTTGTAGTGCATAAAACAGAGTTATTGATTAGAGAGATCAATGAATAGCAGATGTGGTTGATTGCGGTGAAGCATAGTGATGACTTCATATCAGTTTGCATATGACGCAAGAGCAACGGTTTGAATGACACATACTTTTTCACATACGTTATCTACAGTAATATTTTCTTGATAATGCAGGACGTCAATGGTAAATGTCCATAATGACACTGCAGTAAGTGAATGGTAACTGTTTACATGAAGTTGTCTTTATTCTAGAAAACATCAGCCTATTAGAATGCAGTCAGTTTTCACATGTAAATCTACGCGACACCCGTGTTGTGAAAGCAGTAATTTAGAGATATTAATTGTGACTAATGACTTATTGTGAAGTGCTGAGTATATGGTCTTGTCACTTGCACCTTCAGTATTTGTCACACTTCATCAGTGTTAATATAAATCAATCATACTTCATCATTCACCCTACATCTGCTTGCTTCAGAATTCTCTCCAATGTTACAATGCGAGATATATATGTAATAAGTGGTTGTCAAGCATATTTGATTGACAGGACAGAAGAAATCTTGTTTAATGCATTAACAACAATGTCGGAAGTTGGGGAAATAAACTGATATGAATACATATGTGGGATATACTTCTCCATAAAATAAGACAAATCACTGTACTTTGGTGTCATTTCATAGATATTTGAAACTTGATATAGCAAGAACTGAAAGCTGCAACAGAGAAAATAATTGCAGAGTCAAAAACCAGTAAGCAATTAACTAATTGCGTAACACTGTTTCTACGATTTGCTCCTTGCATAGTGCTTGCACACGCAACAACGCTGATCGAACTCGCTTCGTTAGATCCAAAATATCACGATTTAGTGCTTGAATGCGCTCAGAATAAGGCTGTATTTTGTTGAGCTGCAAAAGCAGTTCACTGTTGCCCTTTTTATGGATATATTGAAAACTTAATTGAAAGAAGTAAAGATGTTAGTCAAAGGTACACAGAGAAAGTTCAGCAAAAATGAAGGTATAGTTATGATTTGCCTGTTTGTATGCTTTTTAAGCTCTTATACCATAAATATTTGCTACTTCGCTGCAACTCCAAAACTTTAGATTATAGTTTCGTATCAAAAATGGCGAAAAAAGTTTCCGAAAAAGATAAACACAAAGAGGCTAGAATACAAAATGCAACATCTTTACCGTTGCAGATATGAAAAGTAAAGAGAGCTGAATTCATCATCTACTGCATTTCATTCTAAGCTTCCTTTTATCTAGCGCATGAATTGTACCTTCCCTGTTAGCATGAGTTTAAATATTTTTGAAGCAAAACCGTATTATCGATCTCCATTCTGTGTTCTGATGTAAAGTACTCATCCGATTGCTCTAGACGCGAAATAAGTCCATTTTGAAGACTTCTGCAACATGGAACTGAGCTCATCGCACCGAAAAATACTCAAATGTAACTTAAACAACATAATAAAGTCCTAGCTTCATTACTCATATAACATAAGACTAGGCACATTCTCTGATTTTAATGGCTCATAATAGCTTTATTAAGCAAAAATCAAACAGAAGCATTCTAATATACTACTCATCCAATTGCTAATATATAAATCAAATTTTTGGGAGGCTGTCGAAGTATCACTGAGATACCATGCATTGCAGTTTTCACTGCCAACTTGAAGTGCACTGTTATAAAATGCTTCGGGTAAAAAGTCCGAAACGAGAAATTCATGACTACATTCATCTTACTAATTGTAAATAAATGACAAAAATGTTACCCCAAACTTTAGTGTATGAAAAAGAAAGTACGGAAGCTACACATACATCAGTTCAACTAGCAGTGTTAACAGCATATTGCTCTCTGGAAGATCAACAGTTGATAAGTTTACGTTAGCACCCATCCCCATCAGTGTCTGATTATGGCAATTCTGGAATTTGCATTATTAATGAAATATTCACTACTACACTTCTCAACATTTTAAATCACTTTCGTAAAAGTAAATGCATTTCGACTTTCGAAATAAAGGATAAATATTCGATGACTTCCACAACGCACATTTTATTAGGAAATATTATAACCATGAAATTCCTTAAATTATCAATTCATTTCACCATTAAAATTCAACAGATAGACTAGAACAGTTCGAGTCATCACATACTTTACATTAAAATTTTAATGCAACGAAATCAGAGCAAAAAGAGCACTACATAAATATTGCATCAAAAAGGCGCTATTTATGATGTAACGAAAACGAGTATAACTTAAGTTAGAATCAAAGTAAAGATTATATATATATGTTCGTTTTCTCATAACAAGGCATGTTCAAAACAAAATACTCCATAAAACGATACAACTTCGCAGGTCGCTTTGATAAAAAAATCACATAAAGCTGATGATTCCTTTACAAAGTGCCCATACCAAAAAAAGAGAAGTATTGGGTAAATATCATAACAGAAGGCATTGATGACATTATGAACATAACGATAATACTCGCATCTGTTCTAAAAACATGACTGAGAGGAGAAAATAAATCGCTAAAAATGTACATGACAACCACATAGACCAAATATCCCGCTTTTGCACCAGGAAAGTGGTAAGCAAGATCAATAAAGGAAGCTAGATCTCAATATATTTGTGATATCTGCCAAATATTTAATAGCATATAACACACAACACTAGAAATCTGACGTTATTTTTAGCATTTTGAGGAAACACTAGTTTATCTTTGTTGTCTTAGATAAACGATGATATTTGATCACGAATTAATTTTAGAAAGTCAAAAACAGAAGAAAATAACACTGTCAAAATGAAATTAAACACTTCCTGAAAATGAATAAAAATTGCACCTTGAAAAGAGCCAGATGCTAAGACTGAGAGTTTAAAATAAAAATCAGTGCACGAAGAAAAGAGCAATTAAGTACACTTTGAAAGTTAAAGCGGTTTTGCAACATAATGAAATTTCGATATTACAAAGAATATAATCAACAGATAAAGCGATGCTATCACTGAAGGCAAAAATTAAAAGGCAGTTTTAAAATGAATCATAAATGGAAACATACAAACGAAACTGCATGTGCCCACTGTTCCAAAGGCACAATTTTCAATGATGGCAGAAATCAGAAATAAAACAATAAATGATACGCTTATGAAACTACTTTTTAAGCTATTTTAATAACAAAAATCTGATCACAAATTCTTTACTATATTTTTCAAGAGAATAATGAAATATTTTTTGCCATATGAAAAAATTAATAGTTACCAAAAACTTGAGACATGAGGCCCAATATATTACTTTTTTGCGATCATTTTACGATATAGTAAAAAAAAGCGAATAATTGGATACATTATTAGCAAATACCTACAAAAGCCACCATTTCTTAGTTCTAGATATAATACGATGTCAGTCAATATTTAGATCAAAAAAGTATATTTATGAAAACACAAAACTTGCAGTTATCAAGACTCATGACTTATTTTCATATACTCGCTACTTAATGATTCCAATAAACTGAAATCACCTACAATATTTTGATCTCCTGTATTTTCTACAGGATTTGCGAAGTCTTCTGCTGATACTGCAATACTTTTCTCCGTTTTGGTAGCCAAAGAATTAAGGAGTGTCTCCATCCAAGCAGCTGCTTCACTTTCATTACTTGAAAGAGTTCTGAAATAAAATTAATGAAACTCTTAAAATTGATGAAATGATAATTTTTTTGAAATGTATAATTCAAGAAAGAAAATCTAATTTTACAGTCAGAAAGTAAAATGAAGATTTTTTCTAAACAAATTAAAATATTACTAGTTTCTCAGCTTGTTTTCTAACTCGTTTCTATTTTACTTACTTTATATGACTTCTTAAATGTGTTTTAACATTGTCCTTCCGAGCTATGCATCTACCACACAGTGGGCATGAATATCGCTTTTCGCCGGTATGAATCATCTGGTGACGGCGATATGTGGATGAATCGGCAAAACGTCGTGCACACTGTTCACACTGTAATAACATATTGATTTATTTACACATATGATAACATTTTTGTACATGATAAAAAGATTCCGATCAAATTACAAATTACAGGATATGAGAAGTTGAAATTTGTTTATCGTGTTTCTTTGACAAACAGAAAATATATCTCTTCCACGATTACACAATTTTATCATCTTTTATAATTATTGTCATCCCAAGGTACAATACTTCAATGAACTGAAAGCTGAGAGCTGAGATGCAAGATATCATATGGAAACTATCAATAATGAAAATACTGAGTCAACCTTGTATGGTCTTTCTCCAGTGTGAATTCGGATATGCGCTTTTAAATAATGTTTTCTACCTTTCTTGCCACAAAATTCACAAGCATACTCTTTAACCAAATGCACTTTCATATGACTCAACATATCACCATTGCCAACCAGTTCCATACATGCTCTACAACGGCCCTGTTCTGAAAATGGAAGTCAAGACCATAACCAATGACATTAGTAGCTCAAAGAAACCATATGTAAATATTGATATCCACGTTAAGCTAATCAATAACTGAAGTTTGCTTTATGGCTTTATTTGAATCATTATTTCAATGACATCATAATCTTTCACAATCTCGATTGAAGGACTAATACAAATAATGCTTACCACCATCCAAATGTTGATTAATAAAGTGTTCCTTGATTCCATCTTGATCTTTTAATATCACTTCGCCAGGACATACAGCACAAAATAAAAGAGATGCTACACCTATTAACAACTCATCTTCAGTAGATGCATCTTTGTTACGAACTATTCGTTTTCTCTTGGAACTCTACAATCCGAATTCATATTTAACTCAAAAATAAGAAGTAATAAAAATAATTCATCTACACATTCTCGAAATTTTGCACTCATTCAAAATTTGAAAACTGATACTCCAAATTAATGTAGGTAATTGTTTAAAGAGAAACTTCATTACTCATGTATTAAATATGCAAAACACCTTGAATGCCTTTGTCGAACTAAAGATATCAAACCACAATCAGATGAATCATGTTCTTCAAATTTCAGAAATGCTACATATTTGGAGACGAATCTGAACGCATTTGGAGCAACATTCGAAACAAGATAAACATACCGAGGTTTGGAGCGGCAGAGGAGACGAACTTTTTTCAGGCGATAAGATGTTAGCATTGAACTTAGGTGGTTCCTCTGCATCAGCTTTTTGGGAAAATGATGTAGTCGGGAGAATCTTCAGTAAAGGTTCTTCTTTTTCTTGAGAAGAATCTTCAACTTTATTTGAAATTTTCAACGCTTGCATAAAATTTTGTTGATGCATTACTGCATGCAATATTTCCAATTCTTTTTCAAGCCAACCACGCTTTCTTTCCATCTGTAAACAGCAGTAATAGAGATCAAACAATAAGCACAAAGAAAATTATATCACAATTTATTTTCAAGATTTCAGCAGCGAAAGCTTTAACTACACATTTAACCGAAAAAACAATATTGAACGGGTTCCTCATAAATTATTTAAGACTTTGAAAGATGTTTGAAGGTCTGTAAAAGTAGTTTTTATCTTAGCTGACAATTTTAATTAAATATACTTAATAAAATATGATAAAAGCAGTATACCTGAGCTAGCTGAGATTTTAAACTTAAAGCATCCTTTTCCACGAGTTCGCGTTGCCACCGTTCTTTACAGAGATCATTCTACAACTGCTTAAAACGTTTTCAACATTCCAGAAACATATAAATTTTGAACAAAAGTTTTTGAAAAAAACTTTCTGACAACTTCTAAATATTTATTTTGTTTAAATGAAAAGATACAAATGTCAAAGCAACTTTGACGACATAATTTGACTAAGATTAAAAAGGCCTTAAATTAAATACGGAGGTGATACTTGTATTGTGCCATTACTTTGAAATAATCATTATTGAACAATACTAGTAGATTTCTAAAATTAAACGCCAAATTAGTTGAAATTTTACTGACTTTATGTAGATAGATTTTAAAAGGAACCTGTAAGTTTTGAATGAAAAGTAACAAATGGTTTTTCCATTCCCATGCAGACGGTTGACGCAATGGAAGTCGTATTGCTGATGAACTTTCCCCGGAAGCAGCACATAGTTGAATCAACAAACCCATTTCTTGTTCACCAATCAAATTAATAACTGTGCTAAAAAAAAATTTTTTAATGTGCAGAATTAATCAGTTGAAATAAATAATACCAGTTTCAGCATAAATAACTCACAATTTGGATTTATCTGATAGTAAGTTAGCACCCTCAATCAAATTTTTTAATACTGATGGAGTGCGTTGTCCATAACGAAGTGCAACTTTATCAGTTTTTGAATCCATTCGACAAGAATACAGCAATGAAGGATCCTCACAAGACGACACCCAAAGAACATAGACCATATGGTGATCGTCACTTTTAGCCTAAGTATCAGTCATTTCAGATTTCAGACTTACACTTGGGTTCTAGTAAGCAAAACAAGACTGTCTAGTTTTCAATGAAAAAACAAGATTATTGTGTTTTTGAACTTTCCAGGCCCAACACTGTCTATTAAAATCTTTTTGAACAAAGAAGAAATAATCTATTATATTATAAAATTTACAAACTCACTAATGTTGCAGTTTCTTCTTCAGCATCTATACATGATGTAGCAAAACGAAAAGTGCACCTGATGTTTCTGAAAGGTCAGAGTTAATTTCCAAATTTGGACCAATGCATAGTTTCTCATACTTAAACTCATTTTTTTCTATCCACTTTTTTCTAAATCTAAGAAATTGCTTTCAATGCATATGCTCAAAATGTTTTTTAGCATTACCGTTCAATAAAATTCAGTGCTTAATTTCAAACCTCTGTCATAATCATTGGGTAAGATAAAATAAGAGTAAATAAGGTGAAACTAGTTGACAAATAAAATAAATTGTTAATTACACAACAATTAGTAATGAACAGAGAAATCGAACAGCACTAACATGTCACAATTACTTCGAACTGAACCAACTTACTTCAATCCTACTTGAACAGGAGCACTGACCATCCAGTAACTATTGAATGTTTCAAAAGGCAAAACTGCAGCAAAACATGCAAGATCCATAGCTCACGAATAATGAACCTTTGTAATCTGCAAAAACGTATAAAAGTAAGATGTGTAATTTTTTGATATGGAAGAAGGAAAGTGAAAAATAAAAAGTACGTAAATGCTTATAATTCAAGGCGTGAGGGAACAGTTAATTCATATGGGATGAATAAAAGCAAGCAGAATCGTGCACTGAAGGTCAGGCATAAAATAAATGAATAGGTGAGGAAGAGAATATAGAAAGCAAGGTGAAACCTAATGATTTCTAACTCTTACAGCAAAAATTCTGTTGTGTGATGTGTGCAGACATATAGACGTTCATACCTGCACATAAGCTGATGCTGTCGTTAATAATTGGCAGTATGACAGTTCAGGTCATCTAAAGTTCAGAGACTGTCTGACCTTTGTCTAATCTCATCTTTGCAATCAAACAATTTTGTATGATACTGTTACTCTCTTCACTCATCAATTGATATTGATCTTTGGCTGCTATCAGTAATAAAAATGCACAGAGCGGAAAAGAGGTCAGTAATGTAGAATTTTTTACAGCTAGACTCAAAAAATCAATAAAAGCATGGCAAAACTATTGTTTTTGGTTGTATGGAAAATAGTAAATTTACTTACTTACTATAAGTAATGTCGCAGCGGAAAACTGTCTTCTGCATATGACTACGGGAAGACGTTTATCTTATTTGTCTTTACTTCATCTTACTTTCTCGTGGCACACCAATACTGCTATGTATTCCTTAGATTAGTCTCCAGGGTAATAACGATAACAATTACTATATATATATATATATACCTTGAAAAACTCTATTGATCGTAATAATATATCATTTGATTCAAAACATAACAGAGCAGTTACCATACTCAAATAAACGTGACTTCACATTCTACACAAAAAGTTCCTAATACGTGCTTTATTCCTGAACACCTCCATAATTCACAGTCACAGCCACAGTTTGTTATTCAGCTTCTTTAAACATTTGGCTCTTGAACTGAATTTTTCAGTCTACTGTAATGCATTCTTGTTTTCATTTTTCATTGCAAATTTTTTGTAAGGAACTTTATGATGTAGTCAGGGTTTTGCTTGTTAGCTAGTCTTTTTCATTTACTTTTTAAATTCATTGTTTTTGGACCAAAAAAATTTGTGACGAAAAGGAACGTATTATATATATTCGTTTCTGCTTTCAGAGGTCTAAATTTCAAACGAAAGTTAGAAATAATTTGTTTTTGAAAATTAGCAATCTTGGTTAGCTTATATATAGTCATTTTTTCTATTCTCACTTAAAATTAAACAATTGTTGGAAAAAATAAAGGAGACGTGTCGTTAGGTTTGAATTGTTGGGTGAGAATGAAATGAAAATAAAGTAATCTCAGGTAGTGATGTCCACTCGACGTTCATCGTCTTACAACTATCAGCAAACAGAAGGCCTGTCAGGAGCTGAATATTTAGCTTCAATTTATGGTACAGAGAAAGATAAAGTTAATTGCTCATTTTACTTCAAGGTTATTTTCTTTTTAATTACCACTTTTTCTTCTCAACTGTAATATATATGTACACGGGGTTTACAGTTCTTCCTGATAACTTTACATTTTGTATTTCTAACATATAGATAGGTGCTTGTCGACATGGTGACAAATGTTCACGAACTCATCATCGACCATCATTCTCGCCTACTATTTTACTTCAAAATTTTTACCACAATCCTATCGTAGATGTGCGCCAAGCTGATGCTTTTGACAGTGAGTATTCTCACTTTTATTTTCTATGTAGTTTTCGGCATTTTTTATTGTCTGATGAAATTGAATTCATTTACTCTGGTGATTAAAAATATAATCTGTTTTTGTTTTTAGAAGTTGGAAAGAAAAATGATCAGGAGCAGGCTTATTTTGATGCTTTTTATGAAGAAGTAAACAGTTGTTTGTTATTTGCAATTTTGTACAATGTTTGTAACGTATTCAATTGGAATAGTTCAATATTGAGAATTTTAAGGAATTCTAGTAAAAACATGATTAGGAAGATTTTTTTGAAATATTTGGCTAACTCTAACTATGCGTTCATTCTATAGCTTCATTACTTAGGTATTTACGGAATTAGAAAGAAAATATGGTGAAATAGATGAAATGAATGTTTGCGAAAATATCGGTGAACATATGATTGGAAATGTATATGTGAAATTTGTACGTGAAGAAGATGCTGAAAAAGCAGTTAAGGATCTCGAAAATCGTTGGTAAGTAGCTTAATGGGCTTTGATTTTGTAATGAGTACTTCAACATCACATTGCATGTTTTAGGTGAACATATTGTTACTGTTCTCATTGTCCTATCATCAAAATTTCTTTTTTTTTACTTTGATACTTTTGAGCACTTTTCTTAAAGTACGAACAAAATGGATTTTTATACTATTCATATCAAAAATTTCACGCACACCAAAAGTAGTTACCCTTCACTTTCCGGATTAAACTGTAGGGCGGAATTGCGCAAGTGTATTTTTCTAAACCATTCTCCTGTGAAAAAAACTGACGCTCAACTTGTTTAGATTCTCAACGTCGCTGTATGAGTGGTACCTGGCGAATCCAAATTATATGGCTCATTGCTTCAACAGCAATATTAACAATCACTTTTTAGATATTGCAACTATTTTCGTTATTTTTAGATCCAAAATACAAATTCAAACTTCGTGTACAAATTTTGTAGCCAAAAATGAAACTTCTTAACCAAATCTTCTCACCGGAAAGCAGTACCATGTTATGGATCGCCCAGGAATATGTAAATTTAATGGAATTTCATAAGTGTGGTGTGTACTAGAAACATTTATGCAGTCTTTATCACTACTAACCAAATTTGAGCTTTGACATTTCTCAAACATTCTAAGGTGTGCTGATTATAATTTCTCTGAAAGTAAATTGTAGGCATTCGAATGTTGAGAAATGTCTGTCTCGCTTTCTATCAATATTCTTTCTGTATTTAAGATAAATTTAATCCACTTCTTGTTTACTCTAATCCATACATCAGTCTAATTTATCCATCTTATTTGAAATCATATTTCATATATTCCATACTATGATTTCCAGGTTTAATGGTCAGCCTATATATGTTGAGCTGTCACCGGTCACAGATTTTCGAGAGTCACGGTGTCGTCAGCATGAAGTAACTACATGTTTCAAAGGTGGATTTTGCAACTTCATGCATCTTAAAGCTATCAGTCCCCAATTAGGAGAGAAACTGTTTGGTCACAGGTATCTCCTTATTTATTTAAGTGATAACTGATAGCTTTAAGAGGAATTAGTTGTAACAGAATCGCAAGTTGCATGTTTGGCACCACTTTGTTTTGCACTGACTTTATTCAGAGTTACAAGGCTGATGCAGAAAATATTTCTAAACTGTTCGATATTGAACCTTCTCTCGCCTAGACATGATGTCTTTCCTCTTTATTCAAAACTGAAATATTGATAGAGGCCGATATGCTGATGAGGCAGGTCATTACCCAGGTGTAAAACGTGAGCGACGTCGTGAAAGGTCACCTCGAGACCGGCATCGTGATGATTGGAAAGAAAGAGAATACAACAAACGGCACTAGTCTTAAGCTGTCATTTATATGATTCAGTTTTTGAATGCACGTCTGATATTGACTGCTTCATGCACTGCTATTAGGTAAATGCACATCGCAAAGAATTCACTCCTTGTAATTAGTAATATAAATCCTAGGAATTTGTATCGTTATTCTAGTTTATGGAAATTTATGTCAGTCTTATTTCATTTTTTTAATGTGTCACGTTTTTTTATGTACGAATTTTTTCATAATGTATACATATGCCTCAACTAGTGTAATAAGATGCAATTCTGGCATTAATATGTTTCAAATTTTAAAATTCCTGGTGATTTTTCAAGGATAATTAACAAAGAATCATGAATCAAGAAAAGCAGAAAGTCTTTTGAATGCTGCATTTTTAGGAAGAA